GACCCGACCTCGGATAAGCGGGAGAAAATGGATGGATGGATAATAAAATACATTTAAAAATAAAGATTTCTTATTCATTATTTTAATATTAATAATAAACCATTAATACATTTAATTATAATAATATTGTCGTGCCGAGCGGGGACGGAATGGAGACAAAGGCGCAGACGTCAGGGTATCAGGGAATACAGGATTTAATTACAGGTAAGGCAGACAAAACGCAGACGGACAATACAATGACCGGACTGGGGAAACAAACTGAAACGCAGACGAAATACAACAACCGACTGACGACAACAACCAGAAACAGCTGATCACATGGGGATTCCACACGAGGTTAACGAGGGGGTGTGGCACACGGAAGGAGCGGACGATCGGGGCAGGACACATTGTTTGGATACATTTATTTTCTTACTTTTTAATAAAATTACTGTTTTGATAAATGTGCTTAGATGTGTTTAATACAGTACATGCTCTTGTTTTATCCGGTTCATTTTGTGTTGAAATGCTAAAAAAAGCATATTTAGGTGTAATTTTTTGGGGCCGGGAACCAATTAATTGGTTTTCCATTATTTCTTATGGGGAAAATTCGATCACAACTCGAACTTTTTAGGATTCGATCTGGAGTTCTGAAAGGATTAAATTCGAGTTCTGAGGTACCACTGTATATGAATGCAATGCAGCAGTAAATATATATTTTCTATAACAGGGTACAGCTCTTCCAAAATCCTTTGCTGCATGGCATGCTTTTGATTATTTTTTAGGTGGTGAAGAAGCTTCTTCTGCATTCCCAAAAGTATCCTGCAGATGGCAGCATTTCCCAACATAATTATAACAGAGGGGCTCTACCCAAGGACCATACCTTTCAGATGTGGGATCCTTGCAATGGAGAGGATACTTCAGCTCAGTTGTGTCCCCGTTCATCTCCCTGAGGGGTTTGTGCTGCTCATTGTAGAACTGAACCAGCTCTGTCAGGGAAGCAAATTTCTGTCCGCCGTACAGGTCATAGTCTCCCGAGTTTTGGATTTTCATGTGAGTAACCTCATCCTTCCTCCTCCCCAGAGTTATTGTCAACAACAAAAAATAAAATAATTTGATACGGAATGTATCATATGCCTGCAAATTCGAAAAAAACTGCTGTTGATAACAGATATTGTTGATGAATATGAATTATGAGGAGATTTATAGGGACATATATTGCAAATAGAGATGAAACAGTATGAACATTTAATATCATTATCAGAGCGCACTGAAAAGTAGTACTAAATACTAGAGATACAAGCAAGAAAATATGGAAACATGTACAGTAGGATTATATTCAACACTATCCATAATAGTCCTAATATAAATACATGTATACACTTCTACATACTGCAATAAGGCAATTCTACGTGTAAGACTGTATCAGTGGGATGAAAACAGCCAGACCAACATGGAACTATAACTTATATAAATAAAATGTTCTTTAATGTTTAATGAAGTCTTAAATCTTAGATAAATTCTTAGATAAGTTCTTCTAAGATATTTCAGTTTGAACAATCAAAACATATCTTATATAGCTAGAAAAGACAATTGAGGTTAATAACATTCTGGCAATAAATGACCTGATCATATTAGAAAAGTATTGATCTATGGTAACAAAGTGGGTTTCAGATCAGAAGATTTTAGTTGTACCAAAATACTCAATAACATAAATTACTTTTAGAAGATGGGTGGGTGGATAGACCACAGAGGAAATGTGTGTGTGTAAAACAATAGGTCACCCAGTACAAAAGCTGTCATACTAATTCAATTACAATATAGTGTGGCATGCCTTAAGATTGAATAGCCTGAGGTGATTTTCTAAAAGCATAATAAAACTGCAAATAAAGCTGTGGTATTTTGTTTTTGAAGCATTTTCATGTATATTCAGACTAACATTGAAAATATATTTTCAGAATCTTAGGATTCTCTATTAAGAGAAGAATATAAGCTGAAATGTAAAGTTAAATGATAAAAAACACAAAAGCTACCTAATCAGGAGTTATTGATATAAATAAAATGCTTTTCACATGATTTAACATAATCTCAAATATGCAACAAAGCTCCCTGCATTGTGTGTCGTGACTCATTACTCCCATGATCATCATCAAAATATATCTGCCTTTAGTGCCCTTCTGTTGGTTTGTACCAGATTGGACAGCCTCAGATGGGACAGCCTCAGATTGGACAGCCTCAGATTGGACAGCCTCAGATGGGACAGCCTCAGATGGGACAGCCTCAGATGGGACAGCCTCAGATTGGACAGCCTCAGATGGGACAGCCTCAGATTGGACAGCCTCAGATGGGACAGCCTCAGATTGGACAGCCTTCATTCACATCCTGCACTGCAGAGTCTTGGCCGCCCATCACCCTGTCAGCAGTTCATGGTTTTTCCTTCCTCAGGACACTGATTTAGCTCTTGTCACATAGATCTGTATCCCTCCCCATTTCTTCTGCATTCAACACATCAACTACAAGTACTGATTGTTAGCTTACCATCTAATATATCCTGGACCTTCACATGCATCATCTTTATGAGAGTCAACATTATTAGCTTCCCATGTGGTTGATGATGTTTTGGCTCATTGGTATATACTGCAGGGTTGCCAACTCTCACGCATCTGGCATGACACTTTCTGACTCTCAAACTTGCATGGTTTAAAGTTTCGCCAAACAAGTGACTGATTCAATAAATGACTTTTGGCAATTGGCAGTTTTGTTCCCAAAATGATTTTTAATATTCCAGCAATTCGGAAAAACTGTAAAATATTTCACCTAAATCTTCATCTAAAAAATATTTATCCCAAAGTGCTACAAATGCACAAGTGCTATCAATAATCTGAGATAATTTAGAATGTGATTATTCGATTTTTTTGTTAAAATCTACTTTAAACATACACTTTTCAAAAACCTGTTTTCAGTGGTGCTGACAAATTGTAAAAAATCACATTATAAACAGTTCTAGCCAAGACTTTTGAGCTCTGAAGCTTATACACATAGGGGCTGGCTACACAAAGGTGAATGAGACATTCAAAAAATTGCATGAGGTTTGATCACTAAAGTGTTACAACTTTGAAGTGACTTTGGAGTCACCACACCTTTGCATACTGTCAATGGCCCATCAGTCTGGAATGTCTGTCACTGCTCCTCACACCAATCAGTTTGGAAAGGCAGTGTCAATTTTACAGTTCTTCTCAATTGCTAAGATGCAATACTGAAGTCGCTTTCTCAAAACTCTTCCTACACTCACCACAACATTAGCTTATGAAGATTAAAATGCATGGTCATGTCTTGCCATAATAGCACAAATGCACATTAAGTATGACATGACCATGCGCATCATTTTATATGGCAAAAGTGTACTTGAGTACCAGTTATTGGCACCCATGAATTCAGGACTCCAGAGCCACTATTGTGTAATATTTGCTGGATAAAACTGCATGAATGCTTTCATGTTGTCTCAGTTCATCTCTTTGCATCTGATCATTCTTAGTGAGGCTTTAACGGCTGAGTTACAGTTTAGAAAAGTGAGAAGCTTTTGTCCTTTGTTTTATTTGATAATAATCACCAAAAACAGAAAACATTCTGCTCATCGGTTTTATATGAGTGTTCAAATGAAGAATTGTATCAATCATTTAATCTTTATTCTTTTAATCACACATACCTCACAAACATTGTTAGACTGCTTACATCAAAATTAATTTTTAATTGAATGTCAAAGTAGTCATTGCTTTTAGAAAGATTATAGTAGCTTGACTGAAATATTTTGACTGCTAGTTGCACATCAACATTCCATACATACAGTATGCCTCACTAAATATGGTAGTTGTGTCCCTATACTCTCCATATCCATGCTAAATATTGTTGCTCATTACCTAAATACTACTGAGTGAACACCATACTGTATACATCAATAATGTTCAAGTATTTATTGCAATATATGGATCATAGGTGTATGCTCTACATCACATATAAACTAAAAATACCAGTGTGCACACTATACGTACAACACAATACAGCCTTTTTCATATATGAAATATCTATATCTGAAAATACTTGTTTCCTGCATCTACACCATATCCTGACAGTCTATTGTATAATATATACAATAGACTATATACACTATATTCCAGGATTCCCCAGTTCCGGTTCTGGAGGGCCAGTCTACCACATAGTTTGCAAATGTCCCTGCTCAAACACACCTTATTCTGCTCACCATCCAATTGTCGCATTTAGTGTTTGGAAATCTGCAACCTGTGATGCAGACTGGCCCTCCAGAAGCATAATGGGGGAATATTCTTTTATAATGCATTAAGCCATATATAAATACAGTATTTGTATTGTATGATATTATACTCTATACTACATATCGCTCCATGGCGACATGATTGTTAAGATGACATTTAGTACAGGGTTACTGCTAAACTTGAATACTGGCATGCAGCCATGTCCACATTACCCTGAGATCACTTTGTAAGTGAAACAAAAAGTATAATAACATAACTACATATATTACAGGACTGTTGTTTCTTTAGTACACAACAAAACAATGAAAATGTTTTAAGCACTTTATTTAGTTGTTGTAGGAACACAAGACGCAAGTAATAAAGTTAGTAATGGTAACATGCCATACAAGTTCTGTGCACTATCCTTCAGGTGTATTTCATTCAAACAGTAGTTCACAAGGGCAACGTTGAAATTTTGCATTTGCACATAAATACGTCATTGAATATACATAAATCCTTTTTTTCCGAGGCCGGAATGTCCATTACACACATTATGTATTTCTGTGGTTCTCAAATTTGTGTGTATGAACACAGACCTCCATGGACTTTATTATCAATATATTTATTAGCATCATTAAATAGCCCATTATATTAGCTAAAGTAAGAGCACAGAACAATTTGGATACAGTTGCGTACCTGTGTGTAGTGGTTTTAAGTTTTAAGGCAATCCTGAATTGCTTTCATTCAAACACTCTACTTGCAACTCTTACTGTATTCACAGGCAATAGTGACAATTTTTTAAATGATGTGTAAGTAACAATTTTATCGATTTGTCTCCATATTTAGGGACACTTGTGTACATTGCAGTGCTGTGTCCTATTAGTCTGATTTACATAACTGAGACACAAAGCTATCCTTGGCTATCATTAGCAAATTAGATATTATACTTAAAATATAAATTTATAAATATGTTCTTTGTCCCCCCCCCCCCCCCCCCCCCCATCTGCATCCCTCCCTTGGCACAAAAAAACAGAACAGTGTAGTCTGCTCAAATTCCAGTGTATGGTACTAAGTTACCTGCAGTTCGAGTTTCTAATCAGGCCTGTAACATATCACTTCCATCTTCATTAAACGAAAATTAAAATGCAAATTATATTTGGTGATAAAACGGGTAAAACATTAAGGCCTTCTCAAATTCATAAGCAAACATTTATATATTTTACTGTTAGAATATATATATGTATATAGATAATTTTTGTGAAAATCAACGAAATAGCACATGTGAATAGCAAGGCAGGCATATAATTACACCCCACTAGGTTTGGGCTATAAAATCACCCCTGCAGCTCCAGTCCATGCATTTATTTGTCCATCTGTGATATTCTGATTAGTTTATTTTACTTTGTTTTTTGAATACCAGGGATGTTTAAAGGCCTAGGGTTTATTTAAATCACAAACACATTTTAAATTAAAAGCTAGAGCAGACAAAATTTGAATACAGTATTCCTTTTTTAAGTATGAAAATAGTCCTGGAAACTTCAGTCTTTCAGTGTTTTCCCATTTTGCCCCCTGCCAGTCTCCCCTGAGCTTCTATAAGTCTGTATCCTCATGACTCCCTTCTCCAGAAACCGCATGACAGTTCATCCAGGTAACACGGTAACAGCTGTTTTTATAATGGCAAAGTCGAACTTAAAAAAGTGGAAAAACGAGATGAAATGGATAATAAAAACTGAAATTTGTTCCTCCATTCAGTAGCAGCTTCTGTTATGCAAAATCAACATAGTACTTAAAATATCACAGCCTTAAAAGAAGACTTCAAACCAGAGTATGTCCATCAGAACAGACATACCTCTTTCAAGAATGTTGCCAAAAGTGATCGGAGTGAGAGAAATAAAAATGAAACCAGGGATTTGCCAAACGCAAAGTTCTTGTTTGTCATTAAATTTGATTAACAGCCGAGAGGAAGCTAGAGAACAATAGCGAACGGACAAATTCACAGTTTAATGTATTTATGCATCTGTGTGTTACTTTATCTTGGTAAAAATTCAGTTAGGCTTTGAATTACTTAATAGTGTGATTCTTCAGGAATGTCTAAAATTTTAAAATGGTAAAGGAGCTCAACAAAAATTACATACAAAACAGAAAAACCTTTTTAAAAAGTGTGCCGTGTGTTATGGATTTCATAATAAACAGGTGTGGTATCTTTTGGTAAGTTTGACATGTTCTTATTTTGTGTTCTATTCTGGACACATAGCATGCTAACCCACAATGCACCTGACAGAGCGGCTGATCCCCCCCTCTGTCTGCTGCAGTCCATGTTCTAAGTGGAAAGGCAGAAAGGCAGAGGAGAGCCCGTGGGTGACTGTGGAGATGATAGCAGCACCCTGTCATTTTCTAATGTTCAAGTAACGTGCACTATGTGGCGTTCCAATGTTAAATGGGAAAATAAATTACATGTTTGTTGACACAATGTGCACCTGTATTTGGAAAATCAGTTATACACGAAGGAACAAAAAAACTAATAAAAATATACAAAAAGAACAAAATTAAGAACCTTGCGTTTTCCATTATAAAAAGTAATGAAAAGCATATAAAAATATAAAATAATTACAGCAGTAGACATGGTGTGCATGAAGGGTAGTGATGAGTTGGAAGGAGGCTATTGGGCAGAGCAGTGTAGGATTCTGGGACTGTTCAAGGCATCCTCCACTAGGTGCAGCTCCACTCCATCCACACTCACATCCTTTATGCAGCCTACAAACCCTGTGCTGTAGGCTTTGGGCAGTCGGCGTGCAACGGGCAACTCCTCCAAGCCACCTGGGGGCGACAGAGAATGGATGGCATTTGAATTACAAGAATACTGAAGTAGGATCAAGCAATTGTAGGCATACAAAATTTCTTTAGAAAACCGGATGGCGTTTATTTAATACAGGCTTGTGTACAAGGAGGTCAAGGTGGGTAAGGAAGGCAAGCAGCTGGAGTGTAGCTGGGCAGGAAGACGGACATGTAAAGGAGGAGACTAAGTAGGTTGCTGGCTTGCAGAGATGAACCAATCTATTGGCTTCATGATTAAAGGGCTGATCAAGCAGGTCAGCCCCTGAGACGGCACTCTGACACATTCACCGTGAAATCTCCTTACATCTCCTGCAGGGCATCCTTTGATATTTCAACTCAATCCCACTCAGTCCATTTGTATATAGATTTTTCTATTAAGTCAACACATAGCATGAATGAATAATCTCTCCCACTCTCTTTTTGGTTCTGTGCCCCAAAATCAGACTGCATGCCTGGGAGATGGGTATATGAACAGGGCCTATCGCACACTGGATAGAACAGAGTACGTAAATAACTGATGGGATATGAAAGAGCTCTAGATCTAAGGCCTCCGTTAGGATAATTTATTCTAGCTGCAGGCTAACCATGTACCTGTGTCTGTCTCACAGCTGAAGCAAACCTACACTTGCTCAAAAATGGAGGATCAGCCATTCTTTCATTCAGTCAGTCGGCATCACTTCACCAGAACTACATTTGTCTGCTTATATTCAAAAGACAGAGAATACCCCCCCCCCCCACCCCCGAAATCACCAGGAAAGAAAGCAGACCTCACTGTGTTCGGGAAGCTCAAAAGAACTGTCCCCTACTTCAATGAGTTAAGAAGTACAGTTTTTTTCAGGTCCTTTGGAGCAATTCTTTTGTTTAAAAATAGGGCAGTCAGTGTTTTAAAATTACCAACTAACCTCTTTTGAAATGACATGCGAGTAAAAGCATCAATGAATGGAAACTGAGTAAGGACTCCACAGAGGAATAAATTATGAATATGAGTCTCTCTGTATGCAAAACTGTGAGAGTGTCTGTGTTACAGTACTGGAAATACGGTAAGTTTGAGTAAGACTGCTCAAATGTGTCCACAATGACATGCTGAAAGCCACATTCTGCTTTTTAAATTAACTTCATTTCATATTTTTGAAAAATTATCCCTCTGATGATTGTAAGCTTCGTCTGGTGGGGAGGATTACATCACTTAAGGAGTTCCTGAGAGAGTCTATGTCATCTGAAGCTTTAACCACCTGCGGGGAGACGCCACACAAACCAAACCATTATTTACAGTATACAGCCCTGTTAGGGAATATGGGTGTGTTGCCTGAAACAGCTTATAGACTTTGTGCTGCTATTGGGATATGATGCAGATGAGAGCATGAGAAGTCTGGCCTCCTTGATCTAAACAGGGTGGACTTCTAAGCAACCCGTTTTTGAACACAAAAATTTTCGTAAGTGTACATGGTACTAGAACATTTTGGAGCAAATGTCTTTGATCAGCTATGTTACCTGTGTTTTAGACACTCAAATGAAGAGAGAGGCAGCGAATGGGAGGCCAGATGGCCCAGAGTGACACATGCAATCAGGGATCAGGGTTAGCTGGGATTGGCTGCTTGAGGCTTCTGTGCGATATGGATTCATCTCTGGGGACATTGCGTTTAAATAGACCATGTTCAAGACCTCAGTCATTGCAGAAAACGCAAAGAGCCGCGGATAGATGGCAGTTGGTACCTGTCACAATGGGAACCCTAAGACCTGCTAGTGGACACCTGTGGTGAGGAAAGCAGTATATCTAAATAATGAAATCTCAATGGGAACAAAAAAAATCATGCTGGATATCGGTACTGATATGGACTGGGTAATGTGTTAGGAATGAAAGGATGCCGCATCGTTTGATGGAAGTGAGAGTGATCAACCTACAGAGGGCTGAATTCAAAGACACCCTGAAAATCAAAGTGAAAAAATGATGCCGCAGGCTGGTCCATTTTGCTGAAATTTCATTGCAGCAACTCAAAATCGTACTCATTAGTTGGTACAGTATGGCCCCCAGGTGCTTGTATGCATGCCTGATAATGTCAGGGCTGCTCCTAATGAGATGATGGATGGTGTGCTGGGGGATCTCCTCCCAGATCTGGACCAGGGCATCACTGAGCTCCTGGACAGTCTGAGGTGCAACCTGGTGGCGTCGGATGGACTGAAACATAACGTCCCAAAGATGTTCTATTGGATTTAGGTCAGGCGAGCGTGGGGGCCAGTCAATGGTAACAATTCCTTCATCCTCCAGGAACTCCACTGCTGTGCAGCAGGAGGAACACAGGACCCACTGCACCAGCGTAGGGTCTGACAATAGGTTCAAGAATTTCATCCCGATACCCAATGGCTGTCAAGGTGTCGTTGTCTAGCCTGTAGAGGTCTGTGCGTCCCTCCAAAGATATGCCTCCCCAGACCATCACTGACCCACCAGCAAACTGCTCATACTGCACAATGATACAGGCAGCATAATGTTCTCCACAGCTTCACCAGACCCTTTCACGTCTCTCACATGTGCTCGGGGTGAACCTGCTACCATCTGTGAAAAGCACAGGACACCAGTGACGGACCTGCCAATTCTGGTATTCTATGGCAAATGCCAATCGAGCTCCACGGTGCCGGGCAGTAAGCACAGGGTTGTCAGGCCCTCAGACCACCCTCATGAAGTCAGTTTCTGATTGTTTTGTCAGAGACATGCACACCAGTGGCCTGCTGGAGGTCATTTTGTAGGGCTCTGGCAGTGCTCATCCTGTTCCTCTTTGCACAAAGGAGCAGATACTGATCCTGCTGATGGGTTAAGGACCTTCTACAGCCCTGTCCAGCTCTCCTAGAGTAACTGCCTGTCTCCTGAAATCTCCTCCATGCCCGTGAGACTGTGCTGGGAGACACGACAGACTTTCTGACAATGGCACATATTGATGTGATCCTGGAGGAGTCGGACTGCCTGTGCAGCCTCTGTAGGGTCCAGGTATCGCCTCATGCTACCAGTAGTGACACGGACCGTGGCCAAATGGAAAACTTGTGAAAAAACAGCCCAGAAATCTAAAATGAATTCAAAGAGGAGTCCCAACAAACATTTAGGTGCATGTGTGCGAAAACAAAATGGAAATGTGACGTACCCAACCAGAGCGCTCCATCTGTGTCCAGCTGTGTGGCTCCCAAGGGGGACGACCCAGTAACAGGAGCCTCATTACCCACCTGAAGGGAGCCGTCCTTCAGTGCTCTGAAAATGAGGCAAAGTACAGGTGAGAAGGAGAAATGACACTCCGAGGACGTCTCAGGAGCACTAACGCTGATTAGCGCTAAATGTATTTTACAGTAGTTAGAAGTGGTTTTTTGTGCACCAACATAGAACAGAATATATAGTCATATGAATTTCTTTATATTCCTCCCATACCTGCTGGCTTTGATGCGGACCCAGCGATTGGTGTTTACGCGTACCGATGACTGCAGCACCACGGGCTTAGAGCCCAGGTCATAGGTCATCTGCACACGCCCATCCACCACGGCCAGAGCAATGTAATCGGAACGCTCCACCCCTTTGCCGCTCCAGAGGATCAGACCATGCGAGGCTTCTGTCCTGATACTCATCTCAAACTTGTTCACCAGCAAGGCCTTCTCACTGTTATGGGCAGGATCAGAACAAAGTTAGCCTCTACGGTGCATTTCAACTTTAATCCTCCTCCGACTGTCTCCAAGCAATTCTACAAGCTTCCTCCTAATTTCACATGCCGTCTAAAATCTCACCGATTCCACAGCCCCGCAACATCTGTAAAGAATCTTTTACAATATCAAGGGGTAGCAATCCAATTGGGAAGGGAATTAAGGCCCTTGATAGATGAGACTCAAAACCTGTCCTTCAATACCTCCCAGGAGAATGAGGCCTTACAGAGGGTTGTGGATATGTGACCTGCACCAAGTTTGATTTCATCATTGCACCTTAGTTTTGTGTAATACAGCTAGTGCATGTGGCCAGTGATCATGGCCATTGGCATCAACGTCGAAAAGAAAACAACATTAATGTGGAGTTAACGGTACTTGGCAGACAAACAACAAGGTACATAAGCACAACAAATCAGCATAATGCAGGACATTCAACCGACATTACATGGAGGTAGAACAAAAAGAGAAACAGTTAGTGATCACACACGTGAATATACAGTACAGGAGGTAAAGAGCTACACAGAAAACAGCTGTCAGCTCTCCATACAGTATCTATTCTCACTAGACCAGAGAGATATCAGATACTGGCAAACCTGATAAGTACTGTCTATCGTGCTCACATGAGGCTCTAGTTAAGGCCTGCTGGACACGCACTACAGTAGCTATCTTCTGGAGAGGTTTCCACCAGCATATGCCAGGGTTAATCAAGCTTTAACGCGGCTCTAACAAAATATACGCTGCTGCTTTTCCCTTGTCCACTAACTGCAGTACCTGGACGGAAAACTGGACGGATAAAACGGAAGACGTGGAGTAAGCTGTGTTTCTAGAAACATTATAACCGAAGTGTGCCGACAATTAAAAGCAAGGCTTGAACCGGCTTCTCTGTTTCTTATTAGAACTAATGCCCTACTGTAACGCTATTGAAAAAGACTGCTAATTTCTACACTAAAATTCTGCCATAGCCTTCAGTGGACAGACTTTTGTTGTCCTCATGTGCTACACTGTCAAAAGTGTTCATTTGCCCTAAGCTGCACTGCCCTTTCTTACACCAGACTCCACACATACTGTATCTTAATCTAGGTCATTAATTGTTATCTAGGCCGTTATAAAAATGTTCAAGATCTCAAAACTACAATATGTGTGTATGGCTTTGCGTGTGAAAGCGTGAAAGTCAAAACACTAAAGCAACTAACAATTTGAAAGAAAGTTTATATTAAACCTTAGGAACATCAAGACCACGGCCTGGTCTTACTAAGTTAAAGGAGTTAGTGACGTGTATATGGCATTTATTTTATTAGGGTTCAATGATGCATCAGAGCACATAATCCAGTGGGTGGATTTTGTGCTGCAACTGTAACCAAAGTGTCACTTTCAACTATATGCAGTGTTTATGTCATGGTGCAGGCTACAGGCCATCACAGAAGGTTTAACGATAATTTCCATCCAGGATTAGCCCACATAGCAGGGAGGGGGAGGGGGAGGGGAGGGGCAGCATGCCACTGGGATATAACACTGCTCAAAACTCACCTCTGGTCTGACGGACTCTCCAGTGACTTGGGACTTAAGGAGCAGGGGAGAAAGTGAAGGTCATGCAGTGAGTGAGAAGTAGCAGGAGGAAGAAAAACCTTCCCGCCACAATAGGGGGGTAAAGAAGAGTGAGAGAAAGGAAAGGGCCCCAGCAACCTTAGCTTGACTGAATTTAATAGACTCTCAGCTCATTAAATCCTCAAATGGGACAAGGGTAGTAAGAGTAGAAGAGTTTGAAAGAACTGTGATATCTATGCAAGACATATTCAGGTTGTGTAATACAGATATGAATATATAGGCAACAGCACTGCATGGGTGGATGAATTCCAATGACAGTGCAAGGCATATGAGTGTACTACACTACAGTCAGTTTTTGGGAGATGATTTAGCCAAAAACAGGACAAACAGACACTTGAGTGGACATCAGATATACAGTATAGTTAGGGAAGAGCTCTTGAACTCTTGAGTCCCAGAGATGATTTCCATAGTGACCTTACAAATTGCAGTGAGCCTCTATTAACTTTCACAACTATGTTCAAACTAAGCTCATGGAGGCTGGGCTTCATCCGGCAAAAGTGAATTTTTGTACATACGATAGTTACATCAGTTTAAACCTTGGGCAGTCCTTCGGCAACTCCAGTAGTCCCTAGCCTGATCTCAAGGCAACACTCATCTTCTGAATGTCTGGAAAATTCCATTTGATAATTGTCTTCTATTTTAACATAACACAGACTTAATGAGCTGTTGTTTTTTGTCCTGCCTTCGGCTCAGTGCCACTTGGGAGATCTGATCAGCTATACCCAGTGTAACCAGGGCTCCAGTATCTATATTTTGTGGGGTTTTACAGTTACTTACCAAGATTATGCACAAGCAAATATTTTCTTCTAGATTCACAACAGGTTAAGACATTCAGTGTTTACAGGGTTAATATGTGACATTTATAGGTATCTCAAAACAGGCAGTTAGGCTTTTGTGCACCTTCCTAATATGAAAAACAACCATTCTCACAAATCTTATTATAGATGGTTGTTTTGAGGAGTTACCAAAATAGTGAATAAGATTACAGACACTTGCCTTTAGGGTGATGGTGTGTATTAACACATTAACTTTCAGGGCATGATGCATGGTCAAGCATCTAACTTTCCAAAAACAGCTCCCTCTTATAGGAATACATGCAGCAACAACAATCCTGATTTTTACACACATTACTATGAAACTGGCCACGATGCTTGTATTGCATGCATCCATGCACATATCAATTCAATTCCTGGATGTACATAAACAAACGATGTGCATATATCTGACTTCAAAATCCCTAGCCTGAGCTGGCTGATGTACAACATGAAAATATTACTTTTGAGGAATGTGGAGTTAAGACTTTTTATAGCACTTGGACTCTTCCAGATTACTTACTCTGGGATCTCATTGGTCAACTGGCTTGAGTAGAAAAGAAACAACAGGAACATTCATATAAGACAGACACTGGCAGATAGGCAGTCAAACAACAGACAGGACAGAGACATGAGACAAACAAAGCTTTTCTATCGGGAAGCTTGACATAAAACAACAAGCAAACACATTAAGGAAAAAATATAACCCTAAACTCATCAACCGGTCTATTTGTTTACTTATTATATACAAGCATCACTGTAACTGCAATTTTACACTAAAAAGAAATGTGTTTCATAAAAAAAAAATCTAGCAGTCAGCAAATTAAAAATACACGATACTAAAAATGTGTTAGTCTCATTTCCCTACACTACACCAAGTTCACAACATCGAGTAACCTGTTAATGGATCCCTTGAATTCTGTGTCACTCTAGTGCTCTCTTCCTATACTGCGGTCATATATTGCCAACTAACAAGGGCTGACACTAATTATCCAAGCCCTTGTAATCTGGACCTTTTCCTGAACTCTCAAGGAAATACTGGTTCACGCTGAGGCTTCTACTGGATTTCAGGAAGGGCAATTAAGAAGAGGGAGATGGCCATTAAGCTTAGTTGGGGTGTTAAAATGTGGACTAACTGAATGTATCTGCGTGTGAGAGTAGAGAGGAGTGAAACTGTAACTGGAATGACGGCCTCGCTGATTAGAAAAGTGTAGCCAAACCTGAAATGGGGCACTGGAAGGTGGGGTCACTAACAATCCAGACAAGATTAGGAACGGAGAAACTGAGAATAACCTGAAAACTAGAATAAGATTTAAATAATGGCCCTTGTCACGCAGTTACATGATGTATGAACACAGTCCTCTTGTGTAATTAGACAAAGTGACAGAGCCAGTATCCTCACCCCCCAGCTTACCTCTTAGTAACTGCATTGTGGTATTCAATGTATGTCCTCCCGTCAAAGGCAATAGATTCTGCCTCCCCAGCAGATTTTTCGTGAATGGCTGTGTGGAGGTAAAATAATGTTTATGTCCTAAGACAGGGTTATTCAACTCACGGTCCTCGAGGTCCGAGCACTGCTGGTTTTCCAGCCTTCCCTAACCTGTCAGTCAGGTGTGAAGCCTCTGACCAATCAGAATCAGTAATTATTAAACAACTACCTGGGGGAACTGAAAACACGGCCTGGATTTGGAATCGAGGTCCAGAGTTGAAGAACCCTGTCCTAAGAGGTAAAGTAAAATCCTAGAGCTAAGAACTTCATCTGAACTTCCTCTGTATCCAGCTGTATAAACGGTAAAACGCGCGTGGGGGGGGGGGGGGTCAGCTAATGACAGCAGCTTCCACAGCTTATGATGTCATTGTGGCACTGACTCACCATTCTGACACTGCACCCCACTAAAGCCATGCTGGCACACACATTCATGTCCAGCTCCTTGGGGACGGCAAAGGCCACCATTCTGGCAAATTCCCCTGGAGCATGGGTGATATGGGTAGGCGGAGATATCTCTGGAACGCACAATGTTGGCTTGGGTCAGGATGGGGGTGCCCATCAGTGTGATCTAAGGATGAAGACAGAAAGAACAGTGGATTAACTAACCAATAAAGTTAAGCTTCGATTTTCTACACTGTGGATAATATATAGACACACCCACACACAAGCAGAATTTAATCTGAACATTTAGTAGGGTGCTTTTAAATGATTTTGTATTATACATACATACAAACATACATATATATATACACACACACACAAAATATAAAAAATACACTTTTTTCTTTGTCCTACACACGGTTCTGAAGCACCACCAAAAATGCCAAAACTGGTGTAGTGCAGAAGACCATCAACACAAGAATTTGACTAAGACAGTACTGTAAACAATTAAGTTCTTAGAATGTTTTAGGTGAATATACAGAAATGTTATGTAAAAAACAAATGTGATAAAAATGTTATTATATTGTATTATATTTTGTATTATATATGCAAAGTAACGCAGGCCTTATGCCCAGTTTCTGCACTCACCGACTGCACGGCCCCGTTAAAGCCGTCTCTGAGAGCAGCTGCTCTCGCCAGCTTTCTGAAATCTGGGGCTCCTCCCACGAACAGTGAGTCCTTTAGGTTCAGAATTGTGTGCTGATCCTAAAACACAGTGGAATACAGTGACTTTTACTTACCACAAACTTTATTTCTGTTCTCTCGCCATTTCTTGGTAACAGGGAAAACATTCTACTGGTACACACACATATAAATTATCATGCTGTTTCAACAAGAACCATGTAAGTTGCTTATCCTAGTGAATCCACGATCAATCATTTTATTATTATTATTATTATTATTATTATCATTATATAACCTCCTTTAACCATCCTACATAGAGTACCAATCAAAAGTTTGAGTAGACCTATCTGAAAGATTACCTATGCTTTAACTGTATTCACTTGTCTTTTCTTTAGGAGTTAAAATCTGAAACATTTGAGTCCACCTGCCATGTATGTGCTGGATGCAGTGTAGATGAGTGCATGTCAAACACAGTGGGGATCTGGGGCTCCTTCCTGGTGATCTTTGCCAAATCTAAGGCAATCTCAACCTGCATTGCTACCATAGCAGGCTTTCACGGGCATGAAGGATTACAGTTTATGGTTCATGAATGCTTCATTTTTCAGCAAGACACTTATCCAAAATACACCTAAAATTGTGATCAAACCCACAGAAAATCTATATAGTATGAACTGGACATAACAGTTAAAGCAAAATATGTCACATAATATCTTCATATATAGTCATATAGTTTCTTGCTCAGTCTTGTTAAATGAATAATTTATGTTTGAAACTGTTATCAGGACAAATGCTAGCTAATTTGAAGACTGTGGAACAAGTTGAAGTCTTGAACACTACTTTGCTATTTCACCTTTTATTTTATACAGTGTTTTATATTCATCACTCAAGTATTTGTTGAAAAAATATGAGTAAAAACGAAAAACTTTTTCAACAATTCAAATTTTTGACTGGTACTGATAAGATTCCAAATAATTTGATTTCTTTTGTCTATTCAGAAAAATACCCCACTTCTATGCATAAAACAAAGCAACCAACAAGAGGTAATAAAAGGCTATGTGATCTGAATGGCTCTCACTGAAAGATGGTAACAGATGGTTATTATTGCTCAGACAGCTGAAATGTAGGTGAGTTATGTAAATTGTTATATCGTTCACACAGGAATGGGTTTGTCATTCCTGGGGCTCCACTTAAAACGTCACTCAGATGTTTCAACAACTACAATTACTAGCAAACAGAGTCTGGAGATTATAGGCAGCTAGCTGGTTAGTGGAAAAAGCTGGTTCACATTTGTAGTGACCGTTTGTGGACAATGGGGCCCTCACACAAATGCATGGTTCGAGTGGCAATAAACACCACTGCTGCATTTACACTATAGATGGTGATGAAATTTCTGTTCCAACGAAATATACATCCAGTTAGGCTTCAGCTGGACTTCGGTGGAAGCCGCATCATTAAACCTTAAATCTGTCTTCTTTAGGGAAATAATTGCTCAGAGGAAGAGCTGAACTAATTTGTTGGAAAACAACACATCAGCTTGACACAGTGGTAACCGATGTCATCAAATATTCTCCCCATGATCCTTCAGAAGAGAAGTACAGTGGGTTTTGTAAGTGCTCTGTCCACCATAGATGTGCCCAGACAGATGAGTGGGGTTGTGGTCTGGAGGAGGCCAGACAGATGAGCGGGGTTGTGGTCTGGAGGAGGCCAGACAGATGAGCGGGGTTGTGGTCTGGAGGAGGC